GCAGGGAGGTGGGCGGCTTGACACAGGAGCGCCCCCTACTGGCCCGCCTCTCGTGGTGGAAACAGCGGAGGGATACAAATACCCAGCTGTGTTCCTGAGGTGGTATCTCTGCACCCGCCACAACCACAACCTACTGGAGAAAGCCCTATTTGAAAGTCTTTTGACAGCTAACTACAGTATAATATTGCTGATATTAATAGATAATCATCATTGATGAAAATATTCATACACACACATATATAGATAGTGTGTGTGTGTATAGTGTATATACAGTGTGTATATGTATATATGTATGTGTATATATACACATACATATGTACACACATACATACTAAACTACTCATCTCTCTCTCTGTAAGAAGACCTCCCTGCATCGATGCTTAGACTGTAAAACCCTATATATGTATTTTCCAAAACATTTCACAGTACATAGTACCACTGAAATGCAGCTATCACTAGATTGGACAACAGCAAGCAATGTAAATACACTCAAGCATAGGGATGGGGAGGAGGAAATGTTAGCCAATTACACTGATGTTTAGGTTTGCTCTGAAAAGTAGGCTCTCAAATGGCTATACAGAGCAAAAACACTTTGTCTTTAAGGGAATCAAAGACCTTACACACAGCAAACGGATAGCTTAGTAACTTAAGGTCTTCACAATCTAAGCATCAACACATGGGAGGTCTTCTTAGGGATATCTTCTTAGGGATATTTGGTATTGGGAGGAAGGCAGGTGTTTGTCTTACTGGCTCTGTACAGCTTGAGATATGCTAATACATATACTAATAAATATATGCTAATAAATGATTATATAAAGTGTTCTCCAAGACGTTCTGATCAAAAACATTATATGAACTGGGTTCCCTCTCCAGGCTAACCCTGGAGTCTTCTCCATTATCGCCCTCGGCTCCTAGTAAATACATGGGTGAAACATGTACCACCCACTAAGCAGGGAAGGTCCAAAATTGGGATAACACCATCTACACACAGAACCAAGCTGCAGAGCTCAGGGTCCTCCATTGACAACAACTTGCTTCTGTTGCTCAGATTTTGATATCTACAGCAAGAAGGGTTCATGGAAAAGCCTGTTGCCATGATTTATGAAGAGAAGCAGCTCTAAATGTGAAGACTCAAACCCAAGGCAGCTTTAAACATCAGAACAAATGCTTTTTATTGTGTGCAGAAACTAACAGAAGTCAGTATCTTGGAGAATCAAAGGCAGGCCTGCTGACATGTAGTATGTATTTTATGCCTGTAGCACAGTGATGGGATGTTGAGATACATTTACCTAATGTCTTTTCAACCAGCATGGACAAGCCAGTTTGCTTCACTATAGAGTGCTCTTCCATCCCTTTCTACACATTTTGAATTTCTATTTCATTATGGGAAATGAAGATGCAATAATAGTTATATTGCACCATTTTTGACACATCAGGCAGGCATTTACTTAATATGCCCCTTGCCCTAGATTTATTTCTCTACTGTGCTTTGTTACACTGCATAGTGTAGGCTCTTTGGAGGCTATGAAGCATTAAGAATGTCTAGTAAAAGATTAAGTTACCAAAAACATCATACTATATAATTTAATGTTTATACAAATCATCAAACATGATCTCATCCTGGAGAATCTGATGAGTCTTGGACAATGATTCATCAGGAGTCAGGTACGAATTCAAATGCCGTCCTTATGTGCTCCTTAATGCAAACCAGATACAGTGAACTGTGCATACTGTGATCACCTCTGAACACTTTTTTTTTGTTCCCTGCATACATTTAAAGTCTAAACCAAGTCCAGTCCCAAGTCTTATGCTGTTAAAACTAGCTGTTTCCTTGGTACCTAGCTCTGTTATTAAAAAGCCTACCAGTTGTAAATCCTGCAGTAATTCTCTAAGACAAGGAAACTGAGAATTAGGAATAACTTGGCTGCTCATTTTTCGTAGACTGACCAGAAATCTAAATAATAATCAGAGTGACTCAAACACTAAAGTTCCCCTTCAGGCACAGTGATGTATGGATGTATATATTCATAAACCCAGTCAAAAGTAACTTGAATAAAGCCTGATTTTTGGTGCTAATGTCTACCAAATGTACCCACAGTGACTAGAAAAAGCAGACTAACTTTCGTCAGAACTGACACGGGCAGGTTATTCTTGGATGTCATTACGCTTGCTACTTCCAACAATTAGTTCAGTGATTTTGTTTTACAAGTCACATAATGCATATCTGCTGGCAACTTGAGATTTATATCTGTGATTAATTCCTCATGCTGCTAATTGTAGAAAAAAATGGGAACATTGCCCTTGTATTAATGTCTTGGTAAAAGTATAGGAAGGACAGACTATTTCCTACCTTCTCTGCATCTTGCTCAAAGAGTCGGAGTTGAAAGCACTGGTCTAGTTTCAGCTTGCGGACATGCCACATCTGGTGCAAATGTTGCCGTGTAGAATGCAACTTGTCCAAGAGGCTGGTGATCTTTGGCACAAGACTTTGGAAGTCGGCACTTCCAGGAATGCAGTTCCTACCAGAAAAACCATCGCTGCACCTTATACATTGTAATAACCTTTGGCCCTCTCGGTCCAGTTCCTCCACGGGTGCTTTGATCACTTTTTTCTTGAGCTGCGTATGCTCGTCGATCAGCCTCCTTGACCCTTCAACATCAACTGGAAATTCTTTCCTAGCCAACATTTCCTGAAGGTCCTCTAGCCTTGATAACAAATGGATGGCACTGTTGAAAAACTCTTCCAAGGAGACTCTCAGCTCTATCCACTCATCATGATTGTAGTCCAAGGATCCTTCGAACTCATCAGTCAGTTGGGAAGGATCAACAAGCTTTGCCAGGCCTTCAACAGAAACCATACTTGTCTAACGGGAGAAAAAAA